TGTGCCTGGCTGGTCCTAGTCACGACCATGACCAGTCAGGCACTTGCTTTGGCCCTGGTGCAATATGAAGCCAATCTGGAGGTGGCAGCATAAAATGCAAAAACGGCAAAGCCTGAAGTTTTCGAACCATCAAACCATCCTAGTCGTCTTTCCTCGAAGTCCACATCGCTACCCACCACACCATCCGAGGCTGCTGGCAGCTTAACCGTGGAGAGCCTACATGAAACTTTCCCGCACTTTTCAACATGTGGCCCCCTTTTTTGGCTATCTCTCACGTTATTTTCAATGCGCAGTCAACTGGCGCCTTCTACTGGACGGAGAGTCGACGCCATGAATGAAACAAACGACGCTGAGTGGGTAAAACGGCGATTTCTGACAAAATCGTTTTCAGTCGTTTTTTGGCATTCAGAAGGCCATTTAGCGGAAATGGACCATAGTTTTATACTCAGTGCTCATGCCCCTATACCATGCAAAAAACCATTTTCAAAAAGCGTCCCACGCCCTGAAAGACCTTCCTTGTAAGTGAGCGATCGAGCAGATAGCCCAAGCATTGCCGTTGGCGCTGTTGTCGCTTACTGAACAGTAGTAATAAACCCTTGCACGAGTACGGTAAAGTCCAATGGTCATCAGCCAAACACTGGTCGGCCCACTGTGATATCAAGTTATAAACGAATATTCTATATTGAATAGGGAGCTGCCACGTTTGGGCTTGGCGGTGGTTCCTGTCGCTCGAGACTCAACTTCTTAATGGTGTTCCGGTCACTTGGACAGAATGAGACCGAGCATCATCTTGGTTACAGATATAACCGAAAAACCTTAGCTCTGAGAAACCAATGAATTCAGGCGATAGGCGTTACGCTGAGGGCCGGGAGGGTTACATAGAAAAGTAAGGTATTTTGCAATACCCATAATCATGGTAGTAAATGCGTTCTTCTCAAATAACGCTTTACTTTTTGACCTACCTTTGACTTGCAGTTTTGGCCCCTCGCTTATTTCATGGCAACCTTTGAGCACGTCTTCGTTAGAAAGTTTTATGCTATGACGAATGTGGACAATTTGGAGGTAGTTCAACGAACGGCAAAATTAGCTGGGTTCAGATGCTGATTGCATCATGTTCTGGGTCTCGGGTAGGATTCAGTGACGCTGATTCGATTAGACTAGAACAAGTACGAAGGCAGCAGCGGCATCGTTGGAAATAAAACAGGTGGTCAAACAGCTTTCCATGGCTGACTAAATTGATCCTCTTGAGGGAATTCGAACGCTCAATCGGGTGGATATCACACTTCATAAATTGCAAAGGTGTTTTAGGGAAAGGCAGGATTCATGAGCGTCACAGCTACTTTTTAGAAGCTTCGTGAGAAGTTACCTAAAAAAGGCAAGTCTAAAGCCATTTAAAGAACCGCCTTTACTTCTGATTGATAAGGGGTGTGTAGACATTACCTTAATATTTTGATTTCTCAGCAGTTATCGTCGAAAAAATGCTTTGCAAGTCGAAGGCATCGATTCAATGTGAAAGAAAAGCATCAATTTAAAGTGAATGTGTTTGGGTGGGAACAACGATCACTTCCAGGCAACTTTTCATGTACATCTGAATATACAACATTGTGATGCGTTTTGTGAGTCCTTGTAGACAAGAGGGCGTGCCGTCATCAATGCTTTTCAGTGTTTTTAACTGATTTCGGAAAAATGCCGATGAACTTCTTTCTACAAAGCGATCAAGAATGATGTCAGG